AATCTTTGAAACAACCCTGCTCTAGCTAAAGCGAAACTAGTATTATTCGTATAGTAACACCATTGTGGTAGATCAGTGGTTTTCAACCTGTAGTCCATGGACCCCTGGGGGTCCGCAGACTATGTCTAAGGATTCAGCAAAAGGTTGTCCTTACCTTAGAACGGAGGCTTTTCAACCTGTGGTCTGCAGACCCCTGGGGTCCACAGACTATGTCTACGATTTCCAAAGGGATTTTTTAGGCAGCCAGCAAATGAAAAAAAGGTTGAAAACCACTGTGCTAGATTGCACACTCAGTGAAGAGCTTGTGTCTATTTTATTTGGCTGTAAAAAAAACAAGTGTAGCACCAATAGGGCGCTGCATGTGCACAATATATAAATGATTAATAATACCTGAACTAAGTTATCTATTTTCAGGACTATCTATATCACCCTGAAAAAAAAACCAACAACAGGGAGTCCTTAAAGACTAACAGATTTATTTGGGCATAAGCTTTTGTAGGTAAAAAACCTCACTTCTTCAGATGCAAGAAGTCTATACATATATATCACCCTGGCATCTATGGAAGCATCATCATACCATCCAGTGCTTTACCTCTTCAAACGTTCACTAATCGGTCAGTGGACTAACTGATCTACTGGTATCAGAGGGGTAGCCGTGTTAGTCTGAATCTGTAAAAAGCAACAGAGGGTCCTGTGGCACCTACTGGCATGCTACAGATCTTGCATTTGCAGGCAGGGGGACAGTCCTCTGCCTCTCTAACTTCTCCGATCCCACTCTTCGGGTTAAACCAGAGCTTTAACAGGGAGCAAAGCCAGTCCCGTTTTGACTCATTCGAATTAGGCAACCTTATGAGACGTGAGCCATCCAAGGTGCCACTTCGCTCCAGGGGCGTTTATTAAGTCACCGCCACAAGCAGATTTCCCTGTGTCACTTTCCTCTCCCCACCATGTGCCAGACCTCCCAGCCCCTTTTGCAAGCGGGACCAAAGTGACAGCAGGAGGCGTGGCCCCAACCCATGGCGTCTCCACCCCCTTTTAAATCGCTCCCCTCGCTGACTTTGCACCCACTGACCAGGGCAAGCCACGCCCACCCACCCCCCGCCTCCCGGGGGCTGCCCCAATCAGGGCCCTCCGCAACGTTGATTGAGGGAGGGCCGCGCCGCGTTGCAAGGGCTGGTTCCAGCCCCAGCCCCCTCCCCTACTTGGAATGTTGGGCCTTATAAGGAAAGTGTCTCCATGGCCACATTGTCAATGAATTCCACTGTCAGAGTTCAGCCGCTCTCCACGTGATCCTCCCCGGGACCATCTTCGAGGGGGAGGGGACTGGGGGGGGGAGGG